CATGTTTATATATATATCATGTCGTATATTACCAGTTTGTTTTGTTCCATGCATAACACCATTTGTTCTATAACATACTTTGGAAAGCAAAAAAGTAAGCACAGCAAGAATAAGCAACGTGGCACAGAGTGTTCCATTTGGAAAAATACTATTATTAGAATGTTCAGTAATTTACTGAGTGATAATAAGTGATAAATGAACTAAAGTTAAAAACACTCACCGATTACTGTTGAAAATAAAGCCAACTGTGTCTCATACTCCTCATAGGTTTAAAAACAATCAATATTAGATGTTTATGAAATTAGATAGAGATGAGAGCCCTATAGAAAATATTGAGTCGTATAATTTGTTACAATATTTGAGATAAGTTTGACTGTTATTCCACCCCAACCTGGCTCAACGGAAATATTGAGGGCTTGTAACACTAAAAATCTGGGTTTGATACCCTCAGTGGGCAGAGTATATATAGCCCTTTGTGTAGCTTTGTACTTAACAACAAACAGAAAAAAAATGATGATATTATTACTATATATTATTAATGTTTACACTTATAAGGATTATTTTGCAGAAGTAACTTTGTATAAATGTTTGAGAACACACGAGATCTTATTGGGTTTACCGCAGAAAAATCATTTAGAGCTAGAATATCGAACTGTTGATCCATCTTTCAAGTATGTTAAGTTTTAGTTTCGTGTTTATTGATTTATGGCATTATGTACTTCTTGTCAGTTTAGTATATAGAATTAACTTCATACATTTATACATTGCTCTGTAGTTCAGACCTACGTAGTTAGCTTCCTTCTCATCAGAAATAATTAATAATTTAAACTTACAAGTCTAAAAAGAAGTGCGATAAAACGTGGCTGATGCAAATTTCAATATTTTATCTGACAATCCTGTTAACTTGTCGATACTGCTTTCATCTAGAATAATCCGATAGGCAGAATGTTAGTGTTCTTCCTTACAAATAGACTTGCAACTGAGTTAATTGGATTTTGAAGTGAAATGTTTACTCGTTTTATTTGTGGGTGGAGAAGTATGTTTTCATGCTTGTAACGAACATACTGTAAAGTGAATTAAAGCGTGGACACTCGATACGTGTAAGTTACGAACTCATAATATTTACTTCCCAGAAAGCTAAATTTTTCTGATGATTAATTAAAATATGAAGGAACTCCTATAGATTATTAGTCATTTTCAACTGACGTTTTAGTATATACTCAAAACTGTAAAGAAGTATCTTCAGAAATTAAGGTAAATTTCAGGCCATAAGAAGTGAGTTGAGTACTAGGTGATGAAAATCCAAGAGATTGCATCAACAATGGTGGAAACCTGTTGTCTCGATGGAAGTAGAAGATGTTACCAATAGTCTTCTGGTTGTTTACTGTTCCATTCATTCCTCGTCTTTGGCTTTTCTTAGCTACACCATACAATACTTTTTCAAGCGACCTCATTCCCTATGTATGTCGATGAAGACTTTCCATGGTTGCCGTTTACACATTACTAGTGCAGAGGAGGTCAATATCCTGCTGGTAAATTAGTACAGCATTTTATAGAGGGGCTTCTCCTGTGAGCTTGTCAGCTTTCTCGTTTTGCCTTACCTATGGCTGCCCTGGTTCATACATCCAGGTGATAGTCTTACCATTCAGTTTCTTTGCTTTATGCTATCTATCTGGGGACCAGTCACTTTGATTGTATACAATAAATATATAAGTAAACAAGCACTCATTCACTAATGATAAAACAAAGCTGAATAAACTGAACAAAGAATTGAAAACGTTAAGAGCTTTTTAAGAGTTCAATGAACGACGTTTCAAATGTTAATGTCTTAAGCATATTTCTTGATTATATGAAAAATAATTGTTATATGATGAATTATAACTTTTATCACTCGATATGTTTACTTAATTAATAACCTCATTTTTTTAACAACAGAAATTCTTAAAAATAACTTAATATGATCCGAAGTAATGTATTTTTTCTGGAAGGACAAAGAAATTTTGCATTGCTGGGACATAGCCTAATAGTAGAAGCCTATAATGATGATGGTAAACTTGCACAACCTGGTACCAAAGGTTTTATGAACAAAATAGACAATACACTAATAAGAAACACGTATATTCTAACATATAAATGAAAATTTGAACGAAACACTGAATTAATCTATGCTATAAACAAAGATGGTTCATTTGAAGGAGGTAGGGTTGACACTGAAATATGGAATG